TGCTGAAAATCAGTTTTGGAAATCAGGCCTTAATTGTGGGCAAATTTAGCCAAATGTTGTATTAATGTCTCTTTGTTTGGCTTCTGGTAGTAAATGAAATGAAGCCTTTTCTCTATCTTTTCTCTTTGACCCCACATTTTGTGATAAAACAAAGCAAAACAACGAAAAAAGTTTTTTTTAGCTATTCTTAAGACGCTTTAGTGATTCTCTCAATTATCGAAAACATTTTAGTCAATTGCTCTCCGCTTTCATTACTGACTCCAAAAACTTCTCTCTTATTTCTTATTCTTTTTGTTTCCTTTAATCTTATTTTTTGCAATTCTTTTCAATTTTGTTTTCATCTAATTTTTGAAGTGAAGTGAAGGGAAGGGTCGACACAACAAAACTTTATAACAAGAATTTATATAAAATTTTTACAATTTTATATCCGATTTTTGTGGCATTTCTCTATTTTCTATAAAAGTTATGGCATTTTTTCGAGACACGCAATGATTAGTTGCTTTCATAGCTTTAATATTGTATTAAATTTAGTGCTAATATAATTGAATTAAAGCCGATTGTAGAGCCGATATTTTCACACCAGTTGCTCAACAATTTAAATATTGTTATACATTATACGGCAACTCATAATTCATTTAAAATTAAATACTGGATAATTGACTTAATTTGTGCCTTAAATTAAGCCAAACATTACATTAGGTTTCATTAGAAGAATGCTTAATACTATTTAATTACTTTATATATTATGTTATATAATAGAATAAAATGGAAATTAAACAAACATTTTCTCATCAATTAATCATTAAATATATATTAAAATGATATCAAAAATTTTATTCTTTACAAAAGTGGCAAAAAAGTCATATAATTTATAACAACGATTATTATATAAAACAGGGTTTTATGTTTATAATTGAGACTCTGTTGGAAAAAATATAAAATTCTCTCCTCTTTTGTATTCAATCAAAATGTTGTCTCAATTTTTTTCAATATGTGTAGTGAAGGGAGAGATAGGAAACACCCGACTCTCAACCGAAACATATCATGAGATCATAAAAAGTGGGAAATAAAGCATAAAAATGAGAGAATAAAGAGAATACAGAATTCAGTACAACAAACAGTGTATTCATTGCATCGCTTATAGTGTAGTAAAACAAAAATTGTTAAAAATTGAATTGAATTGAATAGAGAAATAAGTTGTGGCGTTGACTTGCGATACGAGTTTAGCACTCATGAGATGCCATGAGTTTTGGAGACCATATACTGTATGAGTGAACAGTGACTGAACACTCAGTCAACAGTGAGTGCACATCAAACCAGAGATGAGGAGAGAGAGAGAGAGAGAGAGAATTGTTATGTATTACTTTACTTTCAATTGACATTACACTTGATTTTTGTTATGCAAAACTTCAGTACTATTTTTTACGCAATTCTTATATCATATTGCAGTCGACGGCATCGTTGCCATCGGTGCCAATCGACAAGGACTGTGAGGCCAACACTCAACCCGAGAGAGAGAGAGAGAGAGAGAGAAGAGGACAAAGCAGAAAAGAAGACGGAGAGGAAAGGCAGTGGCGTTTAGGAAGCATTTCAATCAATAAACTGTGTTTCATGTGTGCACTGTATGTATGGTGTGTTTCCCCTTTGGCGGACGAGAATCACTAATTTAATTACAACCGCTTTTCCCTTATAGTTATACATCAAAACTATAGTACAGCGCAAACTGGCGTATATTTTTCTGTACACTTTGTGCCAAAAAGTTTTCAAAACTATAGTTACTGTTAGCTATTCTGTGTATAAATATATTGTTCGTCTCAACCAAAAGAGCATTAAATGCCGAAATATAGACAACAAATTTCTTTTTCCCTACATTTTCATTGGGTTTTAGCGTTCAATTCATATCCCATTCCTAATGAATGAATAATATTAGCAAATATACTGTCAGTAATCCCACCAATGAATCTATTATTTATTTTTTATATACAAAACATTTTTAACTATTCCTAGAGACACATGCTTTTATAGTTTCCAGCAATAAATTTATATTCAAAACAATTATTATTACAATTTTGCATCAATCAAATCAATAATAAACATTTAATTTAATAATTTACTGCACACTTAAAATTGCAAACATTTGTTTAAATCTATTTTTAGCTAAAATTGTTGAAATTCCTGAACAGAAAATAGTACTGAAGTTTTGCATAACAAAAATCAAGTGTAATGTCAATTGAAAGTAAAGTAATACATAACAATTCTCTCTCTCTCTCTCTCTCTCTCTCTCTCTCTCTCTCCTGGAAGTAATGCTAATTTTGTTGTAGAGTTGTGTGTTTACCCGATTGAAACATTTGAAAATCAGAGTTAATCTTATTTTTAGTTAACTTAATAAACGAAAACTAAGTCTTTTAGGACACAGTAATTGTATATCACTTTCTAAAATAAAAAGGTGTTGTCTTTTGTAAATGCAATTATATGTTTATTAATTGAGTTTTTTGTTCAATTAAGTTATTTGAACGGAATTTGTTTGCAAAACACATTTGAAAATTAAATTTAACCAATTTTGACAACTTTTTACGTAATAAGTAATTATTTAAAACAATTATAAATATTTGTTTTATAACATAACATATGACTTATAAATGATTGCCACTAGAAATACACCATTCAATCTCATGATCACGATTCTAATCAATGGTTACATAATAGTCACTCGTTTTCTACATTTTTGGCCAATTTTATGCTAAAAAAATATATCACTATAAATACTATACAATATTACAATACTTCAATTGTACACTCAATGTTCAGTTTAATCTTTAACCAACATATTTGATATAATTTAATCGCAAACAATGTTTGTGTTTTCAGTCAATAAACTATTTTACTACTGATAATAGATAATAGTTACAAAGTTTTTTTTAAAGAAAGTTATCAATGCATAAGTCAGACAAGTTTTAATATGAATTTGTTGTTTTTGAAACACCTTCTGATATACTGTTAATAACATTCTGTTTATATCAAGTTTTTGGCGAATTATTTTAACATTAATGGAAAATATTATTAACTTAAATATTTCATTTTCATTTGTATTAGAAAATTGGAAAAAACTTGTCGATCATTCATGAGTGAAGATTATAATTAATTAAAATATGAATAAATATCAGACTTATTAGTCGGTAGAGAACTGCTCATAGAAACTGAGAAGAGATATGAGATGTACTGCACTATAAACTAGGAATTGTTTATTCAAATCAATATTTATTCATAGAGTCACTCGTTTGAGGCGTGAAACGTATTTTTCACAAGAATTGAGTTATAAATAGTATTAATGATTAGGAAAAAGCCATAGGAAATGCATAGCTAAGAGACAAATGGTTTTCCAACTTTAGGGACACAGATATGATAGTCAATGAGAAGGAACCAGAGTTTTTGGTAAACATGTTATTTGCAAGACTTGATTGTAATGCTTATACCTTTACCTGTATTTGTATTTTTACAGACAAATTAACAATTTTTAAAAAATACAGTATTAATGTTATTACAGTGTAGTCTAACCTTATCGGAAACATATGTGTTATCACTTGTTAGTTAGACAGTAATATCTCATTTTAAACTAAACATAAGTTTTTTTGAGTATAATATTTTCAAAAGTTTGGAAACATATGAAAGTTTTTTGGCATTCAATAGAAAGCCGTTTCTTTCATTGGCTCTTCTATAGCAAAAAACGACTCAAAACTCTTCTTACTTTACTGTGTATTTTGAGTCACCGATTGTTGAATACAAAAATAGCTCAACTATTTTGAGGGGTGAGAAGAGAGTCAGACACTAAGAAAAGAGTCACAAAAACTATACAAACAGTATATAAGACCCAAGAATTTGGTGCAAGACTTGCATTCATACGCCTATGCATTGAAGAGCACTCTTTCGCTGTCCGTCCAAAGTAAAGTTATAAATAGATAAAAAATTCAAAATAAAAATTTAAAGAATACTCAAAACCTTCAAAACCTATTTAACAAAAATAAAGTTATGTTTTACCCAAATTTTAACAGTAATAAATTTTGCGCACCCAATGAGAGCGAAGAGTCAGTGCCGCCAAAGTCTTCAGATGAGACCAAACCAGTGGATACGAGCGGAATAACGCCTACTGCCGACGGAGACGACACATCCCCTCAAAGCGAAGATCACAAGAAATGCCATTGTATTGAATGTAAGTGCGATCCCTGCCATTGCGGCGCCGGTGACCACAACACACCCACACCCGCACCCATCCCTCCCATCACTACTACTCCCACACCCGTCGACGAAACGCCAGCACTGGTTGACACTACTGAGCCGTCCGTCACATCAGATGAAACTCAATCATCGGAAGTAAAACCCGAAGAACCCGTAAAAGAGGAGCCAATTGTTACCGAAAGTGAACCAAAAGCCGAGGAAATCGTTTCAAATGAGACGCCCGTAACTGAGAAGAAATGTCGGTGCGATCCCTGCCATTGCAACCCATGTGAGTGCGGAACACATGACTCGACTCCACAAACCACTACAACTGAGGCCGAAGTGAACGAATCGACACATCAGACCGAATCACATGAGGAGACGCCGACTGAAACTGAGGCCCAAACAGAAGGACAGGAAACGCAAGAAGTGGTCGAAAACAATACGAATGAAGAGTCAGTTCCCGCGGAGACTACAGAAGTGCCCGAAGTATCGCAAGAGTCGGAACAACCCGTCGAAGAGATTACCGAAAAACTTCATGAGTTGACAACAGAGTCGCCGATCGAAGAGAACACCGAAACAAATCAGGAATTCACACAAGAGGTGCAAACATGCGATCAGTAGACATGATATCAACTCAAAGTCCATTAAATTGTTTTATAATAAACATATTTCACATTTTTATCTATTTTATCAAAAAATTAATGATTGATTTGAAGAAAATGTTTTTAAATAAAAATTCTGTATAAAAAACATTCAATAATTTATTCTTTAACATAATTTAACATTTATTTCAAAGCATTCGCGTATTGAAACTCTTCGCTATTGTTGTAATCACTCATATCGAGGGCCACTTCCACCGACTCTCTGACCACTCTTTGGGAGTCTTTGATATATTTGTTGAGCTCTTGTTGTGCATCATTGGTGGCGATGGCGCCCAAAGCCTCAGCGCATTCATGTCTAACCATTTCGTTTTCGTCAAAATCTGCCAAATTTGCGGCCAATTGTGTGACAGTCGACGGGTTCTGCATTTGGCCCAAAACATAGGCCACTTCGTGCCTGAATTCGCGGCTCAGGAGCGTAAATTCTGGAAACCGGTCTCGATACCGGCTGAGCAGACATAACTACAAAGAATTCCGTTTGTAGCGAGCTATCGCACTTTTGTTCAGTAACAAACCTAGTTAATCTTCTGACTCGAGCTTTGATATGTCGCTCTCATCGCATCGAAGCGGTGGCACCGGATCCACAGACTTGAACGGTACGGACGAGCCGTCGGTAATGAGGTCTTTGGTTTTGTTCAACAAATACTCGATCCGTTGAATCGCTAGTAAACACGTTTCGGACACCGATTTGTTGCCATCGCTTAAGTATTTCTGATAATAAACACAACAATTAAAACAAACGACAAAACATTTGCGACAAATGATTGATACCTTTAAGACGTCCAGCGATTGGTGAGCGCCGATAGCGCCGAGTGCTTCGGCCGCCTCGTGTCTAACCATCGGATGTTCGTCAGTGTTGGCCAACACTCGGTTGAGGACAGGTATGGCGTGAGTGTCTTGTATTTGTCCCAAACAATAGGCGCACTCGTGCTTCAGGAGCGCCGACTCGTCCTCCAGAAGACACCGACAGA